CGTGGGCAGCCCTCCACCTCCCATCCCGGGCTGCCCCATGCCTGTGGCCAGGACCCACGCCAGGCCCAAGAGTGAGAATCCCGCACCCATGTCAGCACGTCTCCGTCAGACCCAGGCAGGCCCAGGGGCACTTCAGGGCCGTCAACACCAACCAGTTCAAGCTGCCCAGACTCAGATCCACGCTACTCCTCCCAACCCTTGAGCAAGAGAGCCGACAACCGTGTCTCTTGTCTTCCTGTCCTTACAAAGGGTCTGGTGTGGTGGGAGGTAAGATCTAACAACTGCCTCACACCAACACGCTGGTACCCCCGACGGCCCGTCTCCTCCCGCTGCTCCACGCTCACACCGCGCAAGCCCGAGCTGCGAGCTGCGAGCGTCTCACCTGCCCCCCTTCTCCCAGAGGGCCTGTGTGTGCGGCGGGCGGCGGGCCCCACTGACTACATGCTTCACCCCATGGCGTGTGAACACGTGAGCAGGCTGGGTCTGCAGCCTCCCCCTTCTCTCTGCTGCTGTCCTGCCTCAGTGTCCCGATCCCCCCACAAGCCCTGCTTCACTGTGCCCCATCCACCTGCAGAGGCCTGGTGCCCCTCCTCTCACACTGGGGGCCTCAAGGCTCTGGTCCCAGCCTCCTGCCCCACCGCTCGGTCAGCACATCCCGACAACAGGCCAGCTGCAGTCGGGAGTCCCGTGGCTTCGAGTCCTGGTGCAGCCCTGATGGACACGAACTCCATCCCCAAAGGGAAGGAGGGACGGACGTGCAACATAGCGGCTCAGTGGGAATCACTAACGAAAATAAGGTCCCAGGTTCGAAGGCTGAGGATGAACTGCCGAGGTCCAGACCCAACCCAGTGCGTGCTGGACGCCCGTGCACATACCCGTGGGGGTCAGGAGCAGGGACGGCGAGAAACAAGAAATGCGTCCAAAGCAGCGAGCTGTGCCAGGGCCAGATGGAGCGGGCAGCTGACCACTCGGCAGGTCTGCAGCCCTTCAGGACGCTGGCACAGCCGAGTCTCATCTATGCGTGCGCCCAAAGCACTGAGACCTCGGATGAAGGGGGCAGCCTTTCGTGTGCTGGACACGTGCCCTGGCGTCCCCGCCCCAGCAGTCCTCGCCATCCTAATACCAGGCAGGCCCAGCCAGTCTGCACAGGGGCCCGACCCCGCCACATATCCCTCGCCACTGCCTGGGGCAGCATGTCCTTGCACGTTTCATGGGATGCGACTCAGATGGCACTGCAGGCACCAGGACACTGAGGAGGGGACGGCCCAACCATCACACCCTCACTCAGGCAGCAGATCCGAGAAGCACACCCCTCAGGCCTTGAGATGGAGAAGGGTAGGGGAACAGCCCATCTCATAGAGGCCCCGAATCTTCAGTTTCCCTTGGGTTTTCAAAAAGTATTTAAAAAAAAAAAAAAAACGTTAAAATCAAACTTAAAAAAACTGCACATTTAAATGTGTTAACACTTTACCTGTTTTGTCACTACAGGTTTAGGAAAAGTTAAAATGAGGGGTTCCTAAGAATGACGTCAACATACAGGCCAGGGGCAACGAGGTGAAGAGGTACACACTCAGCCCAGGACTCTCAGTGGGACCGAGAAGGGACGGCAGAGAGACAAAAAGCGACATCTCAAGACATGATGGGATAAAAATGGTGTTGCTTCGCTCAATGACCAAAAACACTCCTTTAGGCCTCTACTCTGTGTAGGGGGCTGTGGAGGAAGGTGACGCCAGGGACAGGAACTGACTTTAAATGGGAGT